ATATGCCACAGTGATTTTGCCTATAGACTCATTACCGTCCAAAAAATCAAGCGGCATGGACAAAATGACTGCCATGGATCTAGCAAGTCCATGACGATACTGTCACGAACATCCTAGGTCCGTGACGGTCAAAAATTCACGCATAAGCATTATGGACATTATGTCATCTGTTGGGTGTCTGTTCAATAAAGCGCCACAGACATAGCAAGTCCATGGTAGGGCGAAATACTATTCATTTTCGCCTATAGGTATTTTTAAGACTTTTCCTCTCTCTATCTATATATATATATATATGGATGGAAAAAGCTGAGATACGCCACATCATGTATAAGGGGCTGGTGCACCCAATGGCCGTGATAAAAAACTCTCAAATTGACGGCTCCCATCTCTCTCCCACTTAACCAATAAAGTTTTCAAAAACCCCCTCTCTTCACAGGACCTCTTTCTCTCCACCTCTCCCTCTCTCTATTTGCAGAATGGACCTTGTCTCTCTCTTGGGCATCCCTCTCTCTCTCTCTATTTGCAGAATAGACCTCCCTCTATCTTTTTTTAGCAGTAATGCATCCCTCTCTTTCTCTATATTTGCAGCCATTGAAGCCCTTGGGCTTGAGCATCCCTCTCTCTCTCCCTAGGAGCCATTGAAGACCTCTCAGCCCACACAGAAAGAAAAGCCCTCTCATCCCTCTCAGAAGAAGCCCAAATTATAAGCTCTCCATTGATCTCGCTATTAGTGTCTCAACCATAGCCATACGAGAGAGAGCCATAGTCCTATGAGAGAGAGAGATTAGCTAGAACTACTGAAGCGAGTAGAGAAAGAAAGGGAAGAGTTTAACAATCACATAAAAGATGCAGAAAGTGAGAAAGTGGCATGTTAGAGAGAGACAGCAGGTGGCCTGTTGGAGAGAGATAGCGAGTGAGAAAACAAGTGGCCTGTTAGAGAGAGAGAGAGCAAATTGGGACTTGGAGAAGGATGCTTTGTTAGAGAGAGAGTAAGAAAACAAGTCACAAATTTGTATGCTATTGAAGAGGCACCCTCTGAAACATGTCAGGCCCTTTGTACACTTGTGCTCTTCAACATGTCATGCCGTTTTGAAGAGGTGTCAGGCCCTCTTCAACATGTCAGATGGCCTTTAATTCAAAATGGTAGAGCGAGAGAGTTTGGACCTACGATTGGCAAAGCCAAATCAGGACCATCGGGCATATGACTTCATCCTTTTCCTCTATATATATATATATATATATATATATATAGTAGGTAGTACGTT